GCGGAGCACAGGCTCCGGACACGCAGGCTCAGCGTCCATGGCTCACGGGCCCAGCCGCTCCGCGGCATGTGGGATCCTCCCGGACCTGGGCACGAACCCGTGTCCCCTGCATCAGCAGGCGGACTCTCTACTGCGCCAACAGGGAAGCCCTGTAATTACTATTAAAGTTTATGATGAAGGATACAAATGAAGAGCCCCACGAAGAGGTACAGAGGTACAGAAGGGGCCTGGCAGCATGGGAGCCTATGTCCCCATGGAGGTGGGGTGCAACGCCCTTCTAGTAGGTGGGCGTGTTCACCAGCCAGGAAACTTCTTGAAAACTCCTTGAATTTCTCTTGGTGTTTATGAGCTTTTATAACCCAATAAGAGAGGTGAGAGTTTAGTCTTTCTGAGACTATCTCCAATCTAGAAGCTATCTAGGGGTCTATTCTCAGTCCCCTTGTTAGCATAAACTCAAGTGTTGTTGAAAAGGGTTTGTTTTGAATAACAAAAGACACTCCTGTCACTCAGAAAATTCCAAGGGTTTTAGGAGCTCTGTTCTAGGGACCGGGACTGAGATGAAATATGCTTTTTATTCCACTAGAATCCCTTTCTTGTCATGCCAGGTGTGAGGTCCTGAGTGGGCAGAGAGTCACCTCAGCCCTTCCTTTGACCTGCAAACACCTGCTTACACTGACTGACCCAGCCTCCTCCCTTACCTGACCTCCTGTTATTTAAGAGCGTCTGGGGCTGGGATTGAGTCAGCCATGGGTCACAAGGATGTTTTTTCTGCAAAGCTGAGAAGGAACCCCTGACCCCCTCCTAAGTGGCCGGTGAAAAGTGTCTGTGACACTGGGGCAGAGGTTAGTGTTTGGGGCTACACTGGAGCACGGAGAGGGGGAGGATGGGCCTGAGGGGAGGGCAGAGGCTGGTGCTGAGGGAGAGGGAGAATAGGGGTGCAGACTGGCGCCTGGAAGCCTTGAGGGGAAGAGCCCAGATGGGGCGCTTCTGCAAAGTCAGCAGCGGAGGGAGGCAGGCAGAGCTGGTTAGGAATGACTCAGGAGCATATAAATCTGGGTATCGCAGCTTCACTTCCCACCACTGCTGGCCCGCAACGTGACCTTTAGGAGCCCGGGGCAGGGAGTAGTACTGGAGGATGAAGGAAGCAGAGATGAGGGGTGACGAGGTCCGCTTCTGCACAGGCAACCAGAGTGTCTCCCTGTGCTCCCGAGGTGAGAAAACTGGGGCCCCAGCCCGTCCTCGCCAGGGACCGGCCTGCTTGGGCCCAGCCCTCCGCCATTTTCCTCAGCCCCTGCCTGGCAGGCTCAGTGCTGGCTCAGCTTCCAGAATTAGCAGGCAGGGCAGAAAGTGCGTCAGGTGAGGACAGAGAGCCTGCGGCCCACACCCAGTCTCCATGTGAAATCTCCCCGGACCCTTTTCCTTGGGGATGGCAACCTGGCAAGAGAAAGAGAGTGAACTTTGAATTTAGGGGGACCTGGTTTTGAACCCCATCTCTGCACACTGGGCTGGTCCCATGAGGCCTCAGGGACTCCGGGCTGTCGTCTCTCCCCCTTCGAGTGGGTTTCCCTGTACACTCAGCCCCCAGACTCCCAGGCATAGCCCTTTTTAGGACACCCATGGGGGACTTTCTGACCCAGCCGGGGAGGCTCCAGGACTGACCCATGTCAGCCCCCAAGGGCTCTGCGTCTCACTCTGGTCAGGATCCATAGAGCAAGGCTGGCCCTGGGGTGCTGAGGTCAGAGTTCCTGCTGGGTCTCCTTCCCTCCCTTCTTTCTGCTTTCATTCAAACGACACCTTGGTTGCGCCAGGTTCTGTGCCCTGTGCACGTCTTCCAGGCTCCGGACTGTGGTCTTCTCTTAGCCTTTATGTTGCTACCACAGCCTCCACGAGCCCTGGTGCACGTCTCCGAGCACAGTAAGTGTGGCAAGTGTTCTCAGCCCCAGCGGACAGCCAGGAGAGGGAGCCCAAGGGGCGGAGCCTGTCTGCCCGCACAGCACAGTCTCGACCCGGACCCTGTCTTCTCCCCTGCAGGGCTGGACCCCGGGGCAGTGGCTCCTGCAGCCCCCAAGATGCCGAGGTGTTTGCAGGCCACCCTGGCCTTTGCGGCCGCGACCGTGGTCTCCTCTCTTGTGGCTCTCTTCGTTGTGGGTAAGCTCCTAGGTGACCCGAACTCGGCTGACTCTCTCTCCTTCCTGCATCAAGGTCCCAAAGAGCCCCAGATGTACGCCCTCTACTCCCAGGAGGGTCACTCCACCTCTAGTCCCAGGCCCAAACCAGAGCTTTCCTGGGACTGGACCAAGGCCTGTCCAAGGGGAGCCTCCCAAGAGATGAGGCCCATGAGGGGAGCTCTGAGGGGTCGTTGGTGCCATCTTCCCCCATCCCCTCTGGAGCCCTAAGTGGAGGTAGGGCAGCCTGTTCCTCCAGGCTCAGTACTGAGGGATTATGCTGACCTGGGAATGGGGTATCTCAGCTCTACAGCACCCAAGACCTGCACTGGAGACATACGCCTCCCTCCAAGAGTTTCCGGAAGACAACAGTACTGGGCAGTTCCTCAAGGCACACAACTGTAAGTAGCCACAGTAGGGGGTGAGTGGGAGGGAGCTGGGACCTTGGATGCCCAGACCCTTTGGACATGCTTCTTCCCTGATACCCTCAGGGCCACGCTCCTCACAGAAAGGCATTATCTTGTGTTTTTTTTAATGGCTTTTTTGCGGTATAATTGGCACATAATACGGTATACATATTTGAAGCCTACAAACTAAGTTTTGACATATGTATAAACACGTGAAACATCATCACCATCAAGATAATGAACATATTCAGCATCCTCCCCGCAAAGTTCACTTGTACCCTTTGTCATCCTCCCTCTCCTTCTCCTTTTGTTTCCAGGCAACCACTGACCTGCTTGCTGTAATATAGATTGCTCGGCTTTTTCTAGAGTTTTATATAAAAGGATTTATAGTACATACTCTTCTTTTGACCTTTATCAGCCATGTGATTTGCGAATATTTTCTTTTAGTCTGCGGCTTGTCTTTTTATTCTCTTAACAAGATTTAAATTTTGATAAAGTCTAATTTATCCATTTTTTATTTCTTGTATGGATTGTCCTTTTGGTCTGTATCTAAGAAATCTGCCTATACCAAGGTCACAAAGACATTCTCCTATGTTTCCTTCTGGAAATTTTATAGTTTTTGGGCTTTACATTTAGGTCTATGGTTAATTTTGAGTTAATTTTTTGAATACTGATGCAAGGTATGGTTTGAAGTTCATTTTTTCTTTTTGCATATGGGTATACAATTGTAGAAACAGTTATCCTTTCTCCTTTGTATCTTTGTTGGAAATCAGTTGTCCATACATGTGTGGATTCTCTATTCTGTTCCATTGATTCTAAGGCCCTCCTGGTCTTACCTCAGCACAGTGGCTGAGGTCTCACACACTTACCTAGGCAGGGCTTTAGAAATAGGGCAGGAATCCTCCAGAAAGGGTCCTTGCCTACTTGGGTTCTTCTCCCTATTCCTGAAAGGAGGCTGGAATGGGAGCCTCACACCATGAATGTCTGAACTTTCGTCCTAGCTCATGAGGTTCACAGAGGGTGCTAGAAGAACCAGAGACAGCTGCAGGTGGGTGTGGTGGGAAAGGCCATGCAGATGGAAGGGGCTACAGAGTTTCCTTGAATGACCCCAATGACCAAAGCCTTTCACTCAGGTCTCCCACATCCTCAAATGGTTCTATAGGGACCCTTGCCCTACATAACATTGGGGGTGCCAGCCCTTTAAAAGGCTGTTGCAGCTCAGGGTTCAGTGTCACCTGGAGGACTTCCACCATAGCCTTGTGCATTGAGCAGAATGCTTCCTCCACGGGTATCTATTTTATTTTGTTTCTGTTTTTTTCACCCCATGGATTTGTGATCAGAAAATTTCTATGTTTGTGGCCTACGTGGTTTTTTGTTTTTTTTTCTTTGTTTTGTGGTACGTGGGCCTCTCACTGTTGTGGCCTCTCCCGTTGCGGAGCACAGGCTCCGGATGCGCAGGCTCAGTAGTTGTGGCTCATGGGCCTAGCCACTCCGCGGCATGCGGGATCCTCCCAGACCAGGGCACGAACCCGCGTCCCCTGCATCGGCAGGCGCCACTGCTCCACCAGGGAAGCCCTGGCCTACATGTTTTTTAGGTAGTAAAAATTGTGTATCAAGAGGCTTCACGCTTAGTGTACAAATACAGTGTAGGACTAAATATGGGCTTTATTCATACCTATTTTCTTTACCATAATGACCCATCTAGTGGTGAAATTTCAGTGGAATTAAACATCAACAGCTGTCAATGATATAATCAGTTATTTTCAAGTTCAATTACAATGGCAAAATAATCCAGTAGGCAAGTATTTCAATCCTTCTGCTCCCCAGTTCACATGGGATAGTTAAGTAGACCTTTATTTCGTTTTTGAGTTTACATTCTCAGGCGGCCATTCCCAGGGTCTGGGTGGTTACAGGCTGCTTGAGGAGAACTCAGGGCTGTGCCATAGACATTTCCCTTGGAAATCTTAGGAACACTCTGGTTGGCCCATGTAATGAATGGCTTCCCTATGTAATGGGCCTCTTAGCTGCCTTCTCCATTTCCTCCCTCCAGATCCCTACCACTTTGGCAGGGAGGCAGAGCTGCAAGAGGCTATCCAGATGTTTAAAGGGCACGTGGAGAATTCCAGCACCTGGAGCGTGGAGATCCAGATGTTGACGTGCAGAGTGGACAATGTCAGTTCTCAGATCCAGATGATCGGTGGTCATCTGGAAAATGCCAGTGTTGACCTCCAGATGGTAAAAGGCATCTTAAAGGATGCCAGCACCTTGAGTTTCCAGACCCAGATGTTAAGAAGTTCTTTGGAGGGGACCACTTCTGAGATGCAGCAGCTAAAGGGAGATCTGGAAGAGACACAAGCTTCACATTCCCAGATCCAGAGTTTCTTAAAAAGCAGTTTAGAAAACACTAGCGCTGAGCTCCATATGTTAAGCAGAGGCTTAGAAAATGCCAACACGGAGATCCAGGTGTTGAAGGCAGGGTTAGAAACGGCAGATGCTCAGGTCCGATTGGCAAACAGTAGTTTAAAGAATGTTAATGCCCAGATCCGTGTTTTGAGAGGCAGTCTGGACAGTGTCAATGATTTAAGGGCCCAGCAGAAAGTTTTAAGAAGTAGCTTGGAAGGTGCTACTGCTGAGATGCAGAAGCTAAAGGGAAGTCTGCAAAATACAGATGCTTTAAGCTCCCAGACCCAGACCTTTATAAAAGGCAGTTTAGGCAACACCAGTGCTGAGATTCAGGTATTAAGAGGTCATTTGGAAAGGGCTGGCGATGAGATTCACCTGTTAAAAAGAGCTTTGGAAACTGTCACTGCCCAGACCCAAACAGTAAATGGTCACCTGGAACAGACAGACGCTCAGATGAGAGTATTAAAAACAGAGCTAGAAAGCGCCATTGCCTTAAGTTCCAAGATTCAGGTGTTAGATGGTCTTTTGAGAAACGCCAGCCGAGAGATACAGACCTTAAAACAAGGAATGAAGGATGCTGCGGTCTTAAATTCCAAGACCCGGATGTTAGAGAGAAGTCTGCAGGAGGCCAGAGCTGAGGTCCACAGCTTGAAAGAGGATTTGGAGAACACCAAAGCAATGACTACGAAAATCCAGGAGGAGCAGGGTAGCCTGGAGACCTTCCGTGCAGCGTCTGCCTCGCAGAAGCAGCTCCAGAGGACCCAAAGTAAGTTGGAGGGGGTCCTGGGGAGGGTAGAGTCTCCTGTCCCTTCAGCCTTTTTTTGTTTTTTGAACATCTTTATTGCGGTATAATTGCTTTACAATGGTGTGTTAGTTTCTGCTTTATAAGAGAGTGAATCAGTTATACATATACATATGTTCCCATATCTCTTCCCTCTTTGTCTCCCTCCCTCCCACCCTCCCTATCCCACCCCTCCAGGCAGCCACAAAGAACCGATCCGGAATTCCTGTGCCATGCGGCTGCTTCCCACTGGCTCTCTACCTTACGTTTGTTAGTATATATATGTCCATGTCTCTCTCTCGCCCTATCACAGCTCACCCTTCCCCCTCCCCATATCCGCAAGTCCGTTCTCCAGTAGTCTGTGTCTTTATTCCTGTTTTTTCTTCATAACATTTTTTCCCCTTAAATTCCATATATATGTGTCAGCAGACGGTATTTGTCTTTCTCTTTCTGACTTACTTCACTCTGTGTGACAGACTCTAGGTCCACCCACCTCATTACAAATAGCTCAGTTTCGTTTCTTTTTATGGCCCTTCAGCCTTTTGATTACTTCCACGTGTACCCTCCGGGGAAGAAGTGTGGGTGCTGGACAGGGTCTGGACCCCACCAAAGGCGGCATAATCCTTGCTTATCATCGGACCAGAGTGACAAAACAAACATTTGGGAAACAAATGAGATCTGGTGGAGGCGTGTAATAGGGACAGAGTGTGCTAGCAGGGCCAGACAGCCTTATTTCCGACTTCCTGCTATAGCCCAGATGCTGTGCTTTTCCGCAAGTTGTTCACCTTCTCTGAGCTTCACTTTTCTCATCTGCAAGGTGGAGACACTAATATCTGCTTCACAGTGAGGATCAAATGAGTTAACACATATAACGCATTTAACTAAGTACCCAGCATTCTTGCATTCATCTGACAAAAATGTTTTGAGGCCCTAGGATGTGTCAGGAGCATAAAGACGTACAAGATGTGATGCCTACCCTTGAAGCTTGCAGGCGGGTGGTGCAGCCTTGCACAAAAGGCGTAAGAGGTGCTATGTTGGGAGCAGGTCTAAAAACTGGGGTTGGGGAGGAGCAAAAAAGAAGGAAAAGAAGGGATCCTCTCCGGGCTGATGTCCCCTGGTGTAGACAAGGATCTTCCAACGGGGGAGGAAATCTTCTGGGGGAGAAAGGATCAAAAGATGCTTCGATGGTAATTTGGCCCTTGAACTGAGTCCTGAAGGACCAGTAGGTGCTCGCCAAGCAGATAGGATAAGGGAACAGCAGGTCACAGGCATGGAGATGTGAACCATGAGGTTCAAGAAACTTCAGGCGGTTCTGTCTGACTAGACTATGGCCAAGTGGGTGGTTAATGAGGCACAGGCTGAAAAGACAGTAGGCAGGGGCCAGAGTGGTGGCTTTCAAACTGTTTTGAATGTAACCACAGCATGAAATCCATTTTACATTGTGACCCAGTATAATTATGTGTCACACACACACACACACACACACACACACACATTTCAGAAAGCAAAACTTTTACCACATGAATGGTAATATTTTATAATCTATTATTTATAATAGATGATAATCTACTTTAATATTTTATAATCTATTCTCCAAAAAACCCTACAACCTCAGTACAACCCATTAGTGGGCTGATGACTGTGGCTGGAAAAACACTATGTGAGGAAGGGAGGCAGACCTGGAGAGACACCAGCTAGATGTGGAAGGCCTCTGAGCTTGGGTTTCTTTTTTTTAAAATATATTTTAAAATTTTTAAAAAAATGTTTACTTATTTGGCTTCATTGGATCTTAGTTGTGGCATGCGGGCTCTTTAGTTGCGGCATGCGAACTCTTCGTTGCGGCATGTGGGATCTAGTTCCCTGACCAGGGATTGAACCCAGGCCCCCTGCATTGGGAGTACAGAGTCTTAGTCACTGGACCACCAGGGACGTCCCTGAGCTGGGGTTTTGTCCTTCAGGAAATGAGGATCTATCGAAGGGCTTCAAGGAGCCTGGCTAGATTGGTCTCCAGGCTGAGACAGGGAATAAAAGAGGAAGACAAGCAGCGAGATTTGGACATGCTGAGTCTGAGATGCTTTGGGGGTATTCGAGTGGCCATGATCTGCAGGCTGTCTGGAATGTAGGAGAGGGGACCTGCTGCGCACAGAGATGCAGGAGCCCTGGGTATGCTGGTTCTGGTTGTGGCAGTGGGAGTGGGGAGTTTGCATGAGATAAAACGCTTTGTGAGAAGGAGGCTGAGGGTGGAAACAGGAGGTCAACCTTTAGGTGGCAAGAAGGGAAAGAGGTGTTTTTGAAGGAGACTGGAGAAGGCAGTCTCGGAGGCAGGATAACGAGGAGATGTGCAGTTGGGGAAGCCAAGGAAGGAGAGCATTTCAAGAAGGGAGTGGCTAGTTCTGGCAAATATCTAAGAGAGGCCAGGTAAAAAATCAATAAGCAACCGCTAACTTCAGGCAATTAGTAAGTCACTGGAATAAAGTTTCAGTGGAGAGTTGTATGTGGCCTGGAGGCCAGACCATGGTCAGTGGGGCGTGAATGAGAGATCAGGTGCCCAAGTCATTCAGGGGCCTTAGCTGAGAAGAGGAAAGAGATGAGGCCAAGGTGAAGGGGATGGAAGGGTAGAAGGAGGGATTAAAAAACAACCTGTATCTTTCATACTAATATCACAAAGCTTACATATTAATTATAGACAGTGTGGCAAATATTGAAAAATAGAAAGATGAGACTATGACAACTTGCATTTCTGTAAAAATGTCTATTTTTACAATAAGAACCCACTGCTAATATTTTGGTGAACTTCCTTGAGAGGGTTTTTCTAAATTAGGATAGGCTTGATCTGCGGGTCAGAAAAAGGCACCAGCAAAGAGGGAGAAGATTGAAGGAGAGAGAGACCCGGGGGTGGGGTGGGGTTGGGGAGACAGTGTTGGATGGGGGGAGATAGAAGGAGAGAGAGAGGAGAGAATGAAATGCACAGCCGACTGATTGGTCTTGAAGGGTTGGGGTAGTACTTGAACCTCTGAGGCTGGGAGGGGAGGAGGTGTGGAAGGAGATGTTCACCCAGGTTTGCAGATGTGGGTACATGACACTGAGGGAGCTTGATATTTAGTGTTGTCTCTGTAGAGCAGGAGGTCCCTGGTGAGAGACGAGGGAGGGAGCTGTGAGGGAGGGGGCCATTTGGAGCATCTGCGGAAAAGATGGGGCTGACAAATGAGGGGCTTGACAGACAGCACTGAGGACCAACTCTATTGTTTTGCTCTGCTGCCCTCTGTCAGAAGCCTGGAAGGCTTCCCTTCTTAATGACTCTCCTATGCTGTCCTCTTAACTCCCTCCTATATCTTGCTACAGCTTTGGTACGGACCAATGCTTCTCCACCTTGGGGACACACTGGAATCACCCAATGAGCTTTTAAAAAATGATGCCTGGAACGAACCTCCAGAACTCTGACTTTTCTTTGGGGGAGAGGGGTGATTCTGGGATGCAGCCTGGGCATCAGAGTCTTTTAAAAAGCTCCCTAGGTGGTTCTAATGGGCAGTCGGGGCTAAGAACCATTAGTTTAACTTTTTCTTAAAGGGCCACACAGTCGATATTTGGGGCTTTTGGCTGAACAGTTTCTGTTGCAACATCTCCGCTGTTGTAATGATAAAGCAGGCAAAGACAGTCTATAAACTAAAGAGCACGGCTGTGTTCCAATAAAACTTTATTTATAAAAAGAAGCTGCTGGTAGGCTGTAGTTTACCAGTCCTTGGTTTAGACTGCTGTTTCTCAGACTTTGGAGTGTATCAGAATCACCTGGAGAGTTTGTTAAAAATGCAGATTGTCAAAAAACAATTTTGGATTCAGCTGGTCTGGGGTGAGTCTGAGAATCAGCATTTCTACCAAGTTCCCAGGTGCTGATGCTGCCGGTCCTGGGACCACACTTTGAAAACCCCTGGTTTACACACTCACCATTTATTATTCAGACATTGCAATTGTGTTGTAATTGGTGTCTCTGGCCCAATTAAGATTGCCTTCTTGCTGTTGAGCATCCACACCATTACCAGGTTGACATTTTTACAGTGCAAATCTAAGCATATCATGATCCTTCTTTAAAACCCTTCAGGGCTTCCCACTGCTCACAGGAAAAATCTTCCGAACTCCTTTACATGGGATGTGCGATTTTGTGCTGGTGAACCTGTCTGTGTTCGTTTCCCATCCCTTGTGCACTGATCGTTCCAGTACTTGAACAGATCAGGCTATGCCATGCTGTTTCACACCTTCATGCTTTTGCGACTACTCTGTCCCCTGCCTGGAATGCTCTCCTTGGCACTGCCTATCTGGAACACTCTTCCTCAGTCTTTTAAGACTCAGCTCAAGTGACCTCTCATCTAAGGTGTCCTTCCTGAGCCCCACTTCCAGCCCAGGTGAATAGACCACACCCTCTTTTGTGCCTCTAACATGCAATGGTTTTCAATCAATGCATCTTCAACGCCTTTTTGAGCATCTGTCTCATTTACTAGACAGCAATTTCCTTGAGGGCATGAATCATGTCTTATTGATTTCTCTGTAACAGTCCCTGATTCATAGAAGTTGAGGAATGTTGAACAGAAGAATAGATGAATGAATAAGTGAGTTTATTTTGGCACCATTTCAAGCAGCTGTGATGATGATGTTAAAGAAGAGAGTGTGTCAGGACAGGGAGAGATGAAACAGCTGAACGAATCAGGGCGTGTGCTCACGGGGTGAGCTATTAGAGTCTGAAATTGTGAGGTCAGGCAGACCAGGGGATGAAAAGGTCCCAAGTGTGGTCCTGGGTGTGGGCAGCTGAAGTGGATGGAGATGAAATCAAGGAAATGAGGGAAGCTACAGGTTGGCTGTGAACTCGTCCAGGGAAATGGCAGGAATCCAGGTGCAGAGAACTGTCAGGAGATAGCAATGAGTTGGGAAAGAGGGTAGGATAGCTAGGAAGCAGGAGCCTCGAAAGAGCATTGCTGGGTAGCAGAGCTGTCTGAATATCCCCGGAGTGATGGAGCCAGATGTCCTGAGCTGCTGCTGGGTAGTGGGCTGGGGGTGAACCCCCCCAGACCGTGCCCCTGTAGCACTGGGCATCAAGCATTGCATGGGCTTGTGACCCTCAGTGGTCAGCCCCTGGACAGATCAGGATCCACAGCCAACTCCTGGTTCTCTCTCCTCCCCAACCTTTGCTCCAGATCAACTCCTCCAGCTGATCCTGCAAGGCTGGAAGTCCTACAGTGGGAGCTTGTATTACTTTTCTCATGTCAAGAAGACTTGGCAGGAGGCTGAGCAGTTCTGTGTGTCCCAGGGAGCCCACCTGGCCTCGGTGACCTCTGAGGAGGAGCAGGTCAGAGCTGTGGGCTTGGGGTGGTGCTGCTGGGGTTGATGTGGCATCAGGGACTTTGGTGCTTTGGCCTTCCCCCTCTTGGAGTGGGCATGGCAGAGATCTTCATGCCTCCTCTGTCAGTCAGGGAGCAAATATTTATTGAATTGTGATGAGCATCTTGCTCTGGACGTACAAGCACTGACAGCAAACCCCAATGTCCTCAGTGAATGAGGGAGACACCCAGAGGAGTCAGCAGAGAGGAAGGGCAGAGGGTGGTGGCACCAGGTGACTGCCCTTAATGTGTCAGGTGCAACCTTCCCTCCCCATTCCCTCATTTTCCTCACAGTCTTCCTCTCTAGTTGTCAATCTTGATTTTAATGTCAGTTCATCTGATGGCTATGGAGGGCCCATGAGCGGAAGATGCAGGCTTCTTGGGAAGACAAGACACACATATGAGTTTGAGGACCACCAAAGGCAATAGAGGCCCAGAGTGGCCCATATGCCGAAGGTTCTTATCAGAAGTTACTAGGGTTATTGACAAGGGCCCACTGTATGTTTGGTCAAATTTGGTCAAATTACAGACCTGTAATGTTTGGTCAAATTTGGTCAAATTACAGACCTGTCCAACCCTTGTGATTCTCCTGAGACTGTTCTTGTCTGTCCGTCAAAGGACATGCTATTTTGTAAAACACATCTTCTTAAAAAAACTGTGACCAGATCTGTCTTTGCCCCAGTAAGGCCACACTCCTCACCAGGTCAACATGGGAGAGCTGGACTTCCCTGAGGTGACCTGGCTGCTGCCCTAGATCTGGAAAACCATGGAACGCATAGGGAGGGGGCCCAGCTCCTGGAAAGTGGGCGTCATGTCCCTGGGACTAGGGAGGGCGTGGCTTGGACTCCTCTTCCACGCGGCCTGGTGAACAAGCTTCTCACACAAGGTCACACGACCCTGCCTTTCCTCCACAGGCATTTCTGATACAGTTCACGAGTGCCTCTTACCACTGGATTGGCCTCACTGACAGCGGTTTGCAGGGCTTCTGGCGCTGGGCGGATGGCACACCCTTCAATAGTGCCAGGAGCAGTGCGTGAGTCCAGCCACTGTCTGGTGCCGTCCCAGGCACTGTCTTGGGCAGGTCTGGCTAGAGACTCTGTCCTGTGTGTGTATCCCTGCCCATGAAGTGTTAGTGTTCTGTGTGATATATGTGTATGATGTGTGTGTGTGATGTGTGTATGAAGTGTGTGTATATATGATTGTGTGGGTGATGTGTGTGTGTGTGTGTATGATGTGTGTGGTGTGTGTATGATGTGTGTGTACACCAGCATAGCTGTGATCCTCGCCTGGACCCCTAAACGGGGGCGTCAGAACAGGACAGGTCCTGGGGCTGGCAGGCAGCCTATGAGTGGGTATTTCTGTTTTGTTGTGTTTTGTTTGTTTTTGCCTATCCTATACCCTACTACTTAGGCCTGGTCCCAAGGAGCTTTGCCCCCATCTGAAGGTATCTGAATATGAATTCTGGGTGGGGACTTGCAGCTTTAGACACCCTTCCCATCCCTCCATTCTCAGTAACTAAGGACAACTTCAGCAGAGCCATCCTGAGGGCACCACTGTCCCCATCCTGGGGCTACGAGGGTATTAGGGACCTGTGTCACTTCAGCTCCTTATGCCACAGCAGGGCAAAGGGACACTTCTTTCATCTAGCAGAATAAAGCCCTTTTGTTTCCAGGTTTTGGGACAAGAATCAGCCGGACAACTGGCTACACGAGAATGGACATACGGAAGACTGTGTTCACATGCAGCGGAAGTGGAATGACATGTACTGTACCGCCCTCTACCAGTGGGTCTGCAAGAAGCCCGTGGGCCAGATGTAGCCTGAAGGCAGGCGGAGCTGAGCCCCTTCTCCAGGATGCCTTGGGAGCCTCTGAACTCAGCTTGCTCTCTGGGGCCTTCCATTTGGCCTTTGTTTCTCCTGCCCTGTCCTTTTGAAAAAATCTTTCCAACATGTTTACCTCATGTGACCCAGCACAAGCGATATCTCCTCAAGGCAAGAGCCTAGTTTTGCCTCTGTATCTCCCTTGGCAACCAGCACAGGCCTGTCAGACAGCAGGTCCTCAATAAATACTCGTATGAACTAAAGTTTGGACTTGTCTCTGTGACAGCTGCCAGGCTTGCTTCTCCCTGCCTTGGTTCTCCTTCCCTCGGGGTACCTTCTGTCTTGAAACAGGCATATCTTGTTTAAGGGCTTTATAGCTAGGAACTTCCAGTTGGTTTGTTGAAAACAGCAGAGGTTTAACACAAACTACAGGGACTTGGTAGGGGTACAAATTCCCAGGTGTTCTCTGTACTTTCTTTGGGGCTGGAGTTGGATTTTTCCAGCCCTTTAAATAACTCCAAAAACTCATTTCTCTTGGGTTGCTGGCTTTATCTTGTCTTTGGACTTTGGACTTTTAACCCTCAGAGCCATTTCTCTGACTCTTCCTGTCCCCATTCACCCTTCCAGGGACTCAGCTTTCTGCCAGCTCAACTTAGAATGAGAATTTCTAGACCAATTTTATTTTGCCTCAAATACTGGAATCCCATCCTAGGCCTGCCCAGGGAATGCTATGCAAAGTTCTGGAGCTCTTTCTCTTCATTACTCTCCTTTCCACTCTGCTCCCCAATTCTGGAATGCTCAGCCTCCCCAAACTCCCATCTTTTTCTCCTCAGCTTAGTGAGACTGCCGCGCCCTGTGTGGC